GCGCTTTTTTCAAATTCACAGACTACGTTAAATTCTCAGAAATTAAGTTGGAATCGTCCTGTGTTCGAGAGAATATTGAATCTTATTAGAAGATCGTAGAGTGGCATCTTCTGTAGCCTTCGTGCGCTAAAACTCATCGATATATACTAAATCTGCTTCAAAATTAAAAAGTCATCCACAAGAAAAGTTAGAGAAGGTCATGATTTTTCAAAGTCTTTTATTGGATGTCCAGCGACTTTGGGCGGTTTCAACACTTAAAAACCTAGTTTTCTGGTACTGAATTACTAATGACGCGTATTTGCATATCAGAAAAAATTTTCAAAAGTTCTTGACTTTTTGAGGTTAATGTTAGCAAAAACCCAGACCGCAATAGACGATCTCCGTTGAAAGTGCGACGTGAATTTTCATAATACAAAGATAAAATCGATAAAAGTTAGATCATGATAAATAGCGAAAGAATTTAGTCAAAGCCTACGAAGTTTTTTATGGGTAAAAAAGGTTAAGGGTCTTGTTTTTACTCTGGCTGGGTAGTGTCTAAGTTCAAATTCTTTTAAGGTTTTCTTAGTTTCACTGAGTTATAAGCAGACAGCTACAAACCTTAGTATCTGTAATTGTATTGTGTATTAAGTATGCTTTGAGACTTATCTGTCAGTGTTAGATAACAATCTACGTCTACCAACTTCTGAACAGCGGTAATAAATCATCCTTAATTTTTTTTTCTACAATCTTCGAACTTTTTCCGACTGACTCATTTTATGAAACATTATTTGAAGCTCAAGTGAAAAAGAACTAATTAATTCTCTTCAAAATTCTGCAAAAATGAACTTGATCAGATTATAAATGTTATTTGTTAAATGTTTGCTTGTTTTGAAAATGAGTAGCTAAAATGAAGTAAATGTTGTCTTTCTCAAAATATGCCTTGTTTTTTAATCAAAATAACAGCGTATTAAAAATCATCATATTCAGTATCATCGATCGGTGGCTTCTTAATTTTAGAAAATCTTGAGTTTTGGTTCATAATTACCAGAAACACGATTTTGACTGAAATCTAACATTTTTCTACGATTCTAAAAATGTTTGTGCACTGAGATATAAACAAAAACTAAACAAAATAAGCATGATTAATCAAGATAAACCGTCAGTTTTCAAGCATTTTGGACGACATGGGTGTCAAGTAATGAATCCTATAATGCATCCTAGAAAAGTTTTCTCTATTACATACTTTTAAATTTAATTTAATATGAGTCCATCAAGAATCAAATTCTATTACTTCTGACGAGAAAACTAGGGTTATCTGGTATTCCTTTGGTTGAATATTTGCAAAACTTTTGTCACATCCCTTTCTTGTATATCCTTAAATTAGAGTTAATTTAAAATTTTTTTTCTTTCTCTGGAAATTTATTCGCACGTTATAATAAATAAAGTAACACTTCCACTACTACAATAATTTCTTCAAAGTTCACGAAATAATAACGATTAAAAATGTCATCAGCAACGATTACCAAAGAATAACAAATAAAACAAAATGAAAAATAGAAGGAATCATATTTCACTAAGACAAATCAAAAGAAGAAAACATCTGTTTCATAAATTTTTTGTTTATAATCGTACGGCATAAATTCCACATCCAGGTAATGTTGGAAAAATACTTTGATCAGCATTATTAACTCGCTTTGTATCTTTACTATTAATATAAAACTTATCGCGGACATTTGCAATAAATTTATGAAGATTTTCTTGTCGTACAAGTGAAACAGCACAACCACCCCATCCGGCACCTGTAAGACGTGATCCTAGAGCGCCACTTTGTCTAAAAATGAAAACTCATTGTATCTCTGAGAAGAAGAAAACAAACAATTGAATATACACACCGACATATGTCAGTTAATTGATCAAGTTCATTACTACTGCATTCATATAATCTTGCACAACTATTGTGACTTTGATTCATAAGTTCTCCGAGTGTTTCAAGACCATCATGTGTATTTGAATCGCATACTTGTTTAAAAAGTAAAACACGATTAGCTTCACTAAGAACATGTTTGATACGATTACATAATTCAAATTTTTGTTCTAAATTATTTTTAAAATTCAAAATTTAATCTTAAAAAGAAAATTTAATTATACCTCGATTTATATTTGCTTTTAAACTAATACTAATTAGTTCATCAACAGTTACATTTAATAAACCAGCTATTTCATCAAGTGTATAAGGCACCTCATGAAGTGTATCTATTGCAAAGTTTTCTAAATCACTTGTTGCAAAACCGAGAGCATTTTGTAGTTCACACGGCTTACGAATTGAACGCCAATCAAGACCTTTTGCATGAGCTAATATCTTTTAATAAAAAAAAATTCAATTAAAAATCAATTATACAATATTTCTTATGAATACTTGAGTCGCTAGGCGACATTCAGATACACGTATATTAAAGTGATCTGAGGCTGCTTTATTAACTTCAGTTAATGAATGTGTTACAACAAAAGCACAACCAACTGGTAAAGTTACATCTTGGATTCTCAATGGATTAAAACTAATTAACATTGCCTTTATGATAAAAATAATAGATGATTATTTAGAAACAAAATAAAACATACAGAACCACTACGTGCAAGACAAGATGCTGCCTGATCCATTCCACCTTTAAAAAACAAAAATTATTAACAAAATTTTAATAACAAAAGATTCTAATCGAATTTACCTCCTTGTGTACCAATATATTTTTCACATTCAGCACAGAGTTCTGCTAGATCATTCTAGAAAAAAAAAATGGAAAGAAAAAAATGGAAAGAAAAAAACAGAAATATTGAAATATAAACCTTGCTAATAGTAATTCCATTAGCAATAACTGTTGTCAAAGCAGCACAAACAACAAGCGCTGATGAAGATGAAAGACCAGCACTACGTGGAATTGTTCCATCAATCAATACTTTCATACCTATGGCAAATATGTTATTGAAATTCGATTTTTGAAAAAAAACTCAAGACTGATAGTCGATATCAAAATTATTCAACAAGGTTCATTTTCAATTTTCTTACGCTATTGTACACGCTAGAAAGATTTCAAATAGTAAGTCGAGTAGAGAAAACTGTGTCTAAAAAGAATATAACGAAACAAAAAAAAACATGATTAAATTTCCGACGATAAGGGCTGTAGAAAACCAAAAATCCTAGTTTTTTAGCAGCACCAATACGTAAGTATAGTTTTATTTATATTACATAGAATGATAGAGGCAGCCACCTTCTAGAAAATCAGACATTCCTGAGTTCTCTGCCACGTTTTTAGACCAACATACAGCTATTTGATTGAAGGTCAAATATGGCTTTTCCATAGAAATTGGAAACGATTGACTTTACGGACTTTCGTAAAATTACTATGTATCAGCTAAAAAATGTTTCAGAAAACTCGGAGACATCTCATTTTGTAGAGAACTGTTTGTTCTATCGTTATATGTAGTCTAAATAAAATAATATTTACACATTCTAGGCGCTAAAAAACCTAGACATTGAGTTTTCTGGAGTTCCTATCTTTGGAAATCTAATGATAAACTTTATCTCCTTACATTCATGCTCGAAATGATGACCACTTAAATTCTTTCTAGCGCTTATGACAACGAAAAAAAACGTTGAAAATAAACCTTGTTGAATAATTTTGGTACTTACTGTACGCCTTTAGTATAAAAAATTTTCTTCATCAAGATCTTTTTAATACCTTTTAATTTAATATCTGGAAATTTATCGCGAATGCCTTGAATACCGCATTTAAAATATTCATACCAATCAGATTTTTCATACGAAATAGAAAAATTTTCCATGTTAAATGAACCCGCTCTAACAAAACAGAATAGCGAATTTTATTTTGAATATAATTCATTTGAAATATCTTACTCAAACGATTCATCAGTGTTATGGATTTTTACTTCATTATTATCACATGTAGCAAAAACGGAGACAATATCTTGATCAATAGCCATTGGTAATACTGAATAACCACAATAATCAATATGTTCACCTTAAAGAAAAAATAATTTCATTAAAAACTTCACTAGTAAGTCATTCCCATATTACCAATAAGATTAACTCGACCTGGCGCACGGCAAAGAAATTGTGGTTGAATTCCATTATAATTTACTTTAAATTTTTCAACTAATTGTTTAAATCTTTCTTCACTTAAACAAAGAAAAAATAAAATACACGATCACAAACTCCTCAAAATCAAAGTAACAACATACTTTGGATTTTGTGGAATTCCATCAGTTATTGAAACCGTATCCATTTAAATTCTTCTTTTTCGTTTCTCTGTCGTTAATTTTAAATCTAAAATTTGTCTTATATCATCTTTATCTATGTTTTCTTTTATATATATACAAACACGCACAATAGCGTTCTTTTTCTCTTAGATTTCTTTCATACAAACAATAATAATTCGTCGCATGAAAGACCCACTACACACACACACAAAAGTTACACATATTAAAGGGTTCAATCATACCAAGAGAAAAAAGTAACAACAAAAAACACAATGACTTTCCATGTCAAAATAGATATAATATTTATATATATATATATAGATAGATATATACATACAGAAAAAGAACAGCGAGAATATTCATATATATTGTTTGTTTTTCCTAAGTTATTCCTGTTTGATATCAAAGAAAGGTAGACTGTTCAGTGAAAATAGAAAACAAAAACAAAAAAAAAAGAAATTTCCGGAATGAAATTCACTCTCTCTCTCTCTCTCTCTCTCTCTCTCTCCCCATGTGTCATCGTCATCATCCATCATCATTAGAATTTTTTTTATCAGACATTCAAATAAACATACATTTTCTTTTCTTCATATGTCTTTTTCTTCTACATAAACAAAACACAAAAAAACATCCACCGGTACACAGAAGAAGAAAAGCTTATTGCATCAACAAAGCCATATTCAAATTACATCCCAATGAGATTTTAGAGAAAAAACAAACAAACAATATTTATAAGATATGAATATATGCTATCGTTCTTTCGTTCGTTTTGCTGTTGAAGTTTTTGATATAGAACATATATCTCGTATTGTATTTCCATGATCGAGTAAATTAACAAGTAAACTGGATATTTGTGTTAATTGTTCACAAAAACAACGCTGTCGTTGAATATTAGCCTAAAAAAATAAATATTTTTTTAAAGTTCAGTTAACATCAGTTGATTGATTAACTTGTGTCGATTTGCTTAGCACAAAAAAAAATAATTCAATATTATCAAAAATGAATCTATGAAATAGTATTTCAAAAGTATTACAACGTATAGACATCGATACTTATAGTAAATTTCTCGAATAAGAAGATAGCTGTTAAAGAATCCGCATATTAGCATGTTCAAGCATAAATTGAAGTGTATGAAAAAATATCATCGAACGAAAGACAATATTTAATCCTTAGTGTTTGAACTTCAAAAACTATTTTTATTTCGGTTATAACCATCGCAATCATGACGATATGCTTCTCCTGTACTTTGAAAAAAAAAATTTCTGATGAATTCAGGGATGTGCAGTATGAATTTACTAATCACTAACTCTGTGTAGTTAGTACGCACTGATACCGATGTTCACAAGAGCATTGAAATACACTGCTACAAGAAAAGGTATATTTTGATAGAGTTGGTATTTCAATATTGCAGCGAACGATGATGTCAGTGCTTCAATGAACATCAATGCTAGTATAATCAATCAACCTTTGTGTCGACTACTCATTGTTCAGTATTTACTAAAGTCCGTTGGATTGATTCAGGTTTGAAATCTTTTATGTTATCCAGATCCGGACCGGAGAATTTCAGATCTGACATACGCTAGTATTTACACCAACAATGCGCATGTCTAGATGAACTTTAAGAAAATAATCTATTATATTTCATGGTCCTATTCGAAATTTTTATTTTTCTCTAAGGAAGAATTTGAAAATTGTTCCATACGAGGACGATTACAACATATGCACAGTTTACTTACTAATTAGAGATGTGTGTTTCTTCAGACTCTAGTAAAGCATCAATAGAAATATGCGATACGAAGTTTTTCTTTCTTCGAGTCTCAATAGATTCGAACTTAATTCTAGTCTAGAACAAATTGTTTCAAAATTTATTCGCATTGAATCGAAAAAAGTCTTCAATAAATTCAATTGAGAAATGTCATTTAGTTTTTGACCTGTATTCCTAATGTAGTTCCTGTATAAGATCAGAACATTTAACTGTTAAGCTTTAATCTCTATTTTAAACTGGCTTAACTTAAGTTCGATCACATACATATCTCTAGTCATGATTATAATCTCCATTTGATGTTCTATTAATTCAAAGTAACAAACAATCTTTTTCGATTAAATATTTAATTTTCTTACTTGAATTAAATCCTCAACTGTTGTCCGTACTGATACATCATCAATGTCTAATAATTGAATCATATCTGACAATTGATTCTGCGTCATTTGCTCATCTTGTGTCTAGAACAAAAAATAAAATACATTTAAAAAATAAAATTATTCTTTAAAAATTTTCTAACCAGATCAGATAGATATGTTGTAAATCGATCAATACGCCATGATGCCCATGGTTGTGTTAATTTTTTTTGTATAATATCAAGACTTTTTACAGGTACAGTTCGTTTAGCATCTAATTAAATAACACACAAGAAAATTACAATTTTGAAAGAAATCAAAAGAAAATTGTTTTTCCATACTCGTTCGAATAATATCTGAATATTTTTCATAATGATTTATTTTTGGTTTCCATGAAAAACGTGATACAAGTGTATTCATTGGTTTTGGTCGAGTTTTTGTACCAATCCAACGAATACCTGTTTGTTTATCAATATAAACAAAATCTAAAGTAAAACAAAAATTTCATTAGAGCTTTTCGTTTTTATTTAAGTCTTTTCTTTTTTTTACCTTGTGCAAGTCTTTTAAGAAGTTCATCATCAATTTGATCAATAACTATATCAGACGATGATCCATTTAATCGATCAATAATTGATTCTTGTTTAATATTTTCATTCGATATTAATTCTTGATTTACTTTTGTAATTGTTCTTCGTTTACGTGATAATATTGTTGAATTCGATGTTTCAGTTGAATGACGTTTTTTTGTTAATCCACTTGTATCAACACTTATTGTTGATATAACTGGAGTTGTTGGTGTTGTATTTTCAATAGAAAATTTTGATAATGGACGATTACGAGTATTGGAAAATTTTTTAATATTTATTGCTGAATCTAACTGTTCATAATGAGGTACTTTATTAGGTGGTTCAGTTGAATTTATTTGTTCACTAAAAATAAGAAAAAGAAAAATTTTGACAAACATATTTTGAGTGTATTTACTCTTCCATTAATTTATGTTTTTTCGGTTGTCGTATTGTTGTTGTTGTCGTTGATGATGATGATGATGATGATGATGATGGTGGTGTAATTGTTGTTGTTATTAATGTTGATGAAGATTGCTGTGTTGTTGGTTGTAAAGGAAGACGTGTTCGATTTTTCGTTGAAATTTTATTAGGATGAACTATTTAAGAAAAGCAAAGAAAAAAGTAGACTTTTTTTTAAATTAGAATTTATTTTACTTGATTTACAATTTTTAATTGTTGTTGTTGAATCATTAAGTTTTTCATCGGTTTGCATTTCACGAATAATTGGAGTTGTTATTGTTGTTGTTGAATGATGATTATTATTATGATCCATTGAACGTTGTGTTGTTGATATAAGAACAGATGATGGTGATGATGAATAAATATGTGTTGTTGGAAGTGTAAATTGAACTGATTGTTGTGAGGAATTTATTGATTCGGAATTTGATGTTGATGGTAATAATTGCATGTGAATATAAGCTTGATGTCCAGAAGTATCAAAATTTTTTGTTGAATATGAATGTTGATGTGGAACTTGAACATTTAATGGTGTTAAAGGATTTTCAATTGTTGTTGGTGATGATAAACCAAAATGCATGCTAATTGGATAGGAATTTGTAGTATCATTTTTTTCATTTTTTATATGTGTTATATGATGATGAGGATGATGTTCGGAAGATGATATTGATGTTGGAATTAATTGTACTGGTCGTGAAAGCATTTTAGCTAAAAAGAAAAGAATATTTTATTTAATAGAAATAATCTATTGGATAAATTAAAATTTCATTATATGTTTTATCAAATTAAGATTTGTCTTATGTTGTTCAACGATAGAAATGTGCAGGATAAGCTTTTTTTATACCCTAATTGAGAAAAAATTTCTTACACTTACCCTAGTCTACACATCTCTATTCAGTGATATTATATCATAAGAACTTCAACGAAAAATTCAGAACACTTGGAAAATTCCAATTTGTCTTGGAATTAACCTTCAATGATCTACATACTATTATACAGTCATTAGAAGCTCGGTTATCATACGAGAATTGGAAAGTATTCAAAAACAATGTTGTTACTAATTGTATTGAAAGAATACTTCAGAGGGAAAGTTCCCCACTGTTCAATCGCTTTTTACATGTGACTGCTGCCATAGGATCAGTTATGATGAACAGTGAAAAAGTTTAGTTTTCTACTCTTCATATGTTGATTTATAGGCGTTTTCTTTGATTTTTCGCTCTTCGAACAAAGACTCACTTAAACCTTGTATATTCGAATTTCAAAACTGAAATTTTGTCCATAGATAAGCTTTGTAGTTAAAGTTTGAGCCAGAACGAACATATATTTATTAAGATATTTCCATTTTAAATAAATGCATGCTTTAGGCTGTATTGCAAGAGAAGAATGTGTCTATGACAAGCTGATATCTCAATAATGATAATTTTGTTCTAGATCAAAACTTTGACTATGAGAATTATTTGTAGATAAGATTTTATCTCGAAATTCGATTATTCAGGTTTTTAGTAATTCGAATAAAAAACGCATAAAGATGGGAAGTTTTAAATGAAAAACAATTGAAACAGTTGAAAGCATTCCTGGAAAAAGTGTAGATGAAAAAAAGCGAATAACAAATTTTTAGTTTAAGCAGTATTACACTAACAACTATGATCTAGTAGACTTTTTCTTCGTAGATATCCAAGAGAATCGAATAATATATATACGCTTGAGACATTCTCACCCAATCAAAATAAACATAAGTGAAGTCATCGATGCCTTCATATACGAATTATATAGGATGACTAATCAACAATAATAATATACTACAAATGATCGACGACATTAAGAAGACTGGTGTAGATTGTTGTTGTCTACGAACCTCGTTTGTTCGAAATAGACTGATAATGAATCCTAATATCAATTGAAGACATAATCCTCTTTCTTATCATAAGAGTTATATGAAGCTCTTCGTAATCTCAACTAAAAATCAATGAAAAAATCATACCAACATAACTATTCAATATAAAAACTGTCATCAAACGATCGTAATCTAATTGCATTTCAGGTTAGTCCTTTAATTACCCTATAGGTGTATACCAATTAAGCATTTAATAACAAAATAAATGTCTAATTTTAATTAATTTGCTTTCATCTTAAAGGATTACACATATTAAGATGATGTTTTATTTCATTGTAAATTTCACGAGAAGATTGATACTAAAGATGGACATTGGTTCAATTTCATGTCTGATTGATACAATCGTATTTTAAAATATTCCTTCAAGTAAAACAGAAAATAAATTTATCTATTTAATTCTTTGATTAAACGACCAATTTTGCATATATATATATATAAAAAAAGTACCTAAATATTCATTGTTGTACGTCTATCGATATATTATAATATAAAAGTAACTAATCGATTTTTAAATCCAATTTACTTTCTCTTAAAATATATATTTTACAAATTGTCTTAGAAAAATGATTATATGACTAAAAACTAATCATAATTGAATAAAATACCTGTCGGTAGAATAGATGATGGTGGTATCGAAACTATAACAAAAAAACTTTTATTATTTAAGATAAATAATTTAATTAAACACTTACAAATTTTTGTAGCTTGTGTTGGCTGTTGTTGTTGCCAAAAATTTGTATTTGTTGTTGATGAATTTGTATTCTGTTGAATAACTAATTTCGGTGTGACATTATTCGTTTGTTTAACATTATTTGATGAATTTGTTGTTGTTGTCGTTGTTGATGACGATGATGTTGTATTTGTTATTATTGGTTGTACAAGTGTAACACGATTTTTTGATAGAAAAACCGATTGATTTGTATTTGTTGATGATAATTTATCAGTTGTTATTGTTGATATATCATTTGTAGATGATATTGTTACACTATTTAATGTTTGAATTTTTGGTGATGTTGTACCTGGTGGTATTAATGTTAATAAAGATGATGACGATGTTGAATTTGCAAGTATTTGTTGTTTATTTACTGTTGTTGTACTGCTCTGTTGAGGATTTAATATATAAGTTTTTGATGTTGAAAAACCTCCATTTGTTGTTGTTGATGATTTATCAGTTAATTGAAACTGTAAATTTGTTGGTGGTGATGATTTACCAGTCGATGTAACAAGACGAATAGATGATGGCGTTGTTGTTGTTGTTGTCGTAGAATTTGATGATGATGTATGTCGAACATTATTATTTGAATTGTCTAGATGTGAATCAGCTTTACAAAAAGAGAAGAAAAAAAACATCAGGAAAATAAATGTTTATTGAAATGAAAATAAACATACGGAGTGATAATTTTTTAACAATTGATAACGGACTTGCCACGCCGGGCATTGATATTGTAGGTACAAGTGGTTTGGGATGCTAAATAAATAAAATAAAATATAATTTTAGAAATTTTTCAAAATTCAATATAACAAACCAATTTTAAACCCGAATAAATTAATGTTGTTGCAGTAGTTGTTGACAACGAAGATGAACAATCAGTATCGTTCGATAATTGTTGTTGTTGTTCGTTTAAAACATCACTCTGCATTGGTAATAATAATCTTCGGTGTGAACATATGCGGACTGTCATACACAAACTAGAAAACAAAAAAAGAAATCTTTTTTTTTATTTATTATTATTCTTATTATCTGAATAAGAATTGCCTAAAAACAAACGACAAGAAAAAAAAGAAATCGAGAGAGAGAGAGAGAAAGCAGCAACAGCCTACCCCAGGAGTGCAGTGATGTCTTTTGGCTACATATGCGCATAGTGAGAGAGAAAACGCATGAGTCTCTCGCTTTTTTTTTCTTCTTTCTTTCCTCTTCCTTTCTCTACTCCTATGCGTTCCTTCCATCTATCAAAAGGTTTAGTTCGATAGTCGTTTTTTTTTCTTTTCTTTAACTTGTGTTGTTTTCTCTTCGTTCGAGCTCGTCAGCGGTGGTAGCTATCGTCTACATGTATATATATATATATATATTTATATTAATGACAATCTCGGGCATCGTGTGTATGTGTGAGGCATGCCTGACCTACGCTGAATTGCATGATGATTGGACGAGAGCAACGATGTAGGAAGAAAAAGATTTGACAACGCAAAGAAAAGAACACAATAGTGCACTCTACAGAAAATGTGTGTTTTTTTCGTTCAGTTTCTAACAGAGAACAAGCAAAGTATTTTTTTTTATCAATTAAAACATTTGTTTTTCATTTGAATATTATGGTTTAAGTTATGGTTTTACATTAGAACTATATAACCAGCTGTGACTCGTTTTCAGAATCTTCTTTTTTTCTTTTTTTTGTGTCTATGCTTCTTTTGTCAAATCATTCTGATGTCGACGAAGAGAAGAAAAAAGTAAATGCAACCAATGTGCAGTTTTTTCTCGTTTCTTCTTATCGTCGAACGACTATTCTTGCCTTTGTATTTATTCGCTTGATGTGCTCGGACGCATGTAGACAGACAGCAACAGCCGACATACATTAAAAAAACGGAGAAGAACATGAAATAACATGAAATAACATGCATAGATAAATTCATTCGATAAGTAACTAAAACTTTTCATCATTAGTCTTCTTTTTCTTTACAGTGAAGTTCAATGATAAAAATTGATGATAAATTTTCATGACTAGTTATGTATCTAATGAAGAAATAATTTTTTTTTTTTTAAATGTTTATACTTACTAATGATGCAAATATTGGACCAAGGGGAACATTTTTACTTTGAATACAGCATAGAACAGGAAAGAAAATCACTTGTTTAAAAGTGACCAATACTTTCAAATCAACTCACAAAATAGAAAAAATGACAAATATAGATGGCAGCTGAAGATGATAGTATTGTTTCGATATAAGATATTAATTATTATTTTCTTTTGATTGTTCTTTAGTCTCATCTTCAGCTGCCATCTATATCTGTCATTTTTTTTTCTGTGAGTCGATTTAAAATTATTGGTCACTTTTAAACAAGTGATTTTTCTTTCTTGTTCTATGGTGTGTTTTAAGTAATAGCAATACGATATTCTTTTTTTTATTTCTTATACATTATTAATTAAACATTTTGTATGTTGATGCAGCACATGTCCAAAAATCGATGTAAACAACACAACAAACAAAACTACAAATATTTGATGTAGAAAGAAAAACGTTATGATTGGTTATTGCTAAATGTATTTTATTAAAGCATTTATACACTTTGTTAGAATTAGTTTAATGTATAAAAAGTAATAATGAACTTATTTTTTGAATAAAAATTTATGATATTAGTCTGATGAGTTAATTAATTTATTAACATATAGAGTTCAAGTAATGAGATTTTATTGGTCGATTGCAAGACAGATTTCGTGTGCTGAAAAAATATAATAAGCGAAAAACCGATTTATACAATTTAGTAATATTGAAATTACAAAGGAAAAATGGCTGTTCCACTGGATCAACAATTTAAAATAGAGAAAAAAGGCATTATTGAAGAACGTATTCCTGTTTTGGTAAATTTAAAACGAAAATAATTCATCTTGTTTAAATTTTCTATAACCTATATAGCATCTATCTGGTATGGACCAACATTATTTTGTAACATATGTTCCACTACCAATTGATATTGAAGATGGTGCAGCTATTGAACAATGGATTGAACGAATGACATTTATATGTGATGATTTAACATGGTTATTACAACAAAATCATACAAAATTTTGGTGTGAAGTTTGTATCAATTTGAAAAAAAAAGTTTTGCTTTTATTCAATTTTATTTATTTTAGGTTGCTTTTAATAAAGATTTTCATTCAATGCTTGATTCTTATTTACGATATGCAACACGGTAAACATTTCTTCGAATTTTTTTTAATTTTCAATAAAATTATCTTTTTAGACCACAACGAACGATTTCATTAGATAATTATTCGTCTATTTCAAATAGTAAAGAATTAGAAGAGAAAGTTTCTCGTTTAATGTTCATGTGTATTCTTCGACTTTCTACACATAAAGAATCATCTGTATGTTTAAATTTGTAGTTCTATTTTTTTTTTGATTCTTAAATTTTATTCTAATGACTATTATAGGAAAATTTCTTTACACCACAAGGATTTGGTCATGTTATCTATGATAATTATATATTCGATATTCCTCGTTTATTTGATATATGTTCATTATATGCAGTTAATAATAAAGAATTATTAAGTAAAATGATTGGAAATATTTTCAAACAACAAGAAGGATACACTAAAGATCTTAAAGAAGCTATTAAATCAATTAAAGATGTGAGTTAAAAATAGATTTATTTATTTATTTGATTTAGATTTTTATAAGACTATAGAAAGTTTCGTATCAGAGATGTGCGCCATCGAGGTTTAGAGTTGCTTATATCAGATTGATTGAAAGTCAAAATACTGGCGAAGAAATCTTAAAAGCTTTTGAGCTGAAATTTTGTTCACAAGGCGGTAGAATCAATGTTTCGAGTTTTGATCTGAAACTTCGTCTACATTGAGACTTCAATTAGATGAGCTTGCCTACAAAGTTTCAGAATTTTCGGATGCATTATCTCCCACATACTTATATGTTAGAGTAAAGACGCTTTTTTATGGATATAGCATTATGCATGGATGTTTGGGAAAGTGCATAGTTCAAAGATGATTTGTCTGAAATATTATAGACAAACTCGTCTGATTGAAATCCCAATTCGGGCGAAATTTCAGATCGATTTCGAAAACTTTGATTCTCTCACAAATATGGAGTCTTGCCGGAAAATTATAGTAAAATGTTGAAATCTCAGCCAAATCGTAAATCGTGCCCATATTCTTTTAAGCTTTCTCTAATCTGTACATACATATTCTACTTGTAAAAAAGATTTTTAGCTGAAAAGTTTTTAAGAACTTGACAAGATTCTCTCGTTAGAAGAAATAAAATAAAATAAAATATTTTCTTGAGGAAATACGATACTAACAAAAGATTTATCACATACGCATTCCTTAAATATGTTCTCAGCGATAATTTTCCGGACAGTTCAGTTTCAGGAACTGAACAGTTACAACAGATCATTTTTGTTGTTCATTGGATCTGAACTTTGAACTGAGAGTTGGTTGACTTCTATTCAGCAATGCTAAGGTCTCCTTCATGAACATGACTTCCTGAATTTGATCTGAAACGTTTAAAAACAGATTCATGCGATACGGCCAACACTGTTGAGCAAAATGAGACGTTAATGAACTTTCTACGACCTTTTTACAACAAATTGCCCTCAATTTATGAAACATCTCGGAGAACAGAATACAGAAAACCTGAAAAACAATGGATAAAAGGAGTTCGTGACTATGGTAAATTAAATAAAGTTTATTGAAACAAAGCCATAGAGAGCGCAGGAACACCATATTTTGCTTACAAATGTTTGTTCTATCAGATGAACTTACTTTCAAAACATTTCAGCTCGAGTTCAGGAGCCTGGGTTAGTAAGAGGAGGGACAAGCGCTTAGCTTTGCAAAATACTTTTGCCTTAAAAATTATAACAACAACAGAACAACACTTCTCTTAACAGAAAATACTGTCAGCTATCTAATTCTGCGATTAATTCTATCCTATTATCATTCAGAAAAGATTTGAAAATCTGAGTATGTGAAAATGTTTGTCTCAGTTTTTATTTCAATAGAGAATTCCAAGAAGTTTCTAGATTTCATTTAAAGGAAACCGAATTGAAAAATGTTTATGAAGAGAGATACTTTCTCTATCTAATGATGTATGTATTATCAAGTTCTATTGCGAAGGGGTTGAGATCTCAATATAGTACACTAGATGCATTGTTTTTTCTGTAGTTACGAGAAAAGTAGCGCGCTTTATTCAAATCTCAACAGTAATCTTCCTATAATAATCTACATATACTGTGCTCTAGGATTGTTAGGTCTAACTTTTACACTCCTTTTCTTTATTCTTCTCTTTTTCTAAATCCCATGACAACTATATATACCACTATCTAACAAGGATACAAAATGTCTAGTCACTTTTTGAAATATTGGGAGTAAGAGAAAAGAATGATTTTTTAGTATAGATAATACCAAATATTCTTACAGCAAAACGATTGATCGACGCTGTGTAAGATTTGCACTGGTCTTACTAACGACGAAATCACCGGAGGTGATACCTCACGTTTGAGATGAGACTTCAGTCGTTAATCAGAGCTTATTGAGACTAGAAAAAATCTAGAAGGATTCTTTCCCATGTGTTACCGGTTTGGATATTATGACCTTTGCACTGTATTTTCAAAAAAAAATACCGAGCAAACATATTTCGATCTAAAATTTCGTCCACAGACAGCTGTTAAAGTCGTTAGAATCTCCTAAAGATAATCAGTCAAAAAGAGTGGTCTCTTCTCGAGGTGTCAAATCCACAAATATACATGATATCCCATCAAAAAAATGGAAAATCTACCTCTTGTTGTGGATTTGATATATCGAGAAGAGACAACTGTTTCTGAGTGAAATTTTTTAGAAGATTCTATTAACTTCGAGAGCTGTATTTGGACAAAGTTTTAGGCCGAAATTCCTTTGTACAATTTTGGTATGAATACAGTGCCAAAGATAAAAAATCCAGTATAACGACCATAACTTCAAAAGAAAGATAATGCATGAGAAATAATCCTTCTAATTTCAACAGGCTCTACGTTATGACTGGAGTCTCATCTTAAACGCGAGGTATCACATCGAATGGTTCCCTCGTAAGAACTATTCATCGCTAAAACGTACAGTCGTACAGCTAAGGAATCTTGCTTTGAAAATTTCAAAGTTTTGAGAAAAAAATAATTTAATCCTACAGATAGCATTTTTTTATATAATATAACCTTCACTGATCAATTAATTAAATCATTTAGGTTATTACAAAACGAATAAAAATATTTCATACTCAAACTGGTCCAAAGAAGCTTAATACAATAACAAAAACATCTAGCATGGAAGAAATTATTGACTTACTTAATTATATTCTTGATTTAAGTTGTACAATAAATCGATTTTTGTTTGTTTATCCACAAGGACGAATTATATTTTTTGATGAAGATTTTCATTCAACGCAAGTATGCTCATTATATATTGAAATTAAACTAAGAAAATTTCTTTTTATTTTATTAGATTAATTCAGTTATTTGAAACATTTTTACGTATTTATGAACGAGCTCAACAATCAAATGAAATATCCGATCATATGTAAGATTAAAGAAAATAATTATATTAGAAGATTTAATCAAGTTTTTCTTTCTCTCTAGAGAAACATTTGAAGAAGCAAAATATGAAACTATTACACTATTTAATGATCTTCTTGCGTCATGTTGTATCGATCCATTACTTATTAATGAGTAAGATTATGTTAATTTAAACGGACCAATTTTCTATTTATTTTCTATTTGAAGGAATAAATCAGAAAATGTTGAGTCAATTATTAATATACTGTCATTATTAATCACAGAGAAACGATTTTTAGCTGCATACGAGGATTATTTTAGTCTTTGTCAAATTATTGATATTGTTCATCAAACAACAGAACTTTTGTAAGGAAAATAATCACGATTGATATTCATAGAAATGTTATTCATTACATTTAGAGATGATCAACAAATAAAATTTTATACAGATGTTGTCAAACAAGCTATTGAAATTCATGGAACACCATCATGTAAACGAAAATTAACACCAGAAAAAACATCTGTAAGTGATTTTGCAGAAATCATTTTCATTTCTTAGTTTAAAAAAAAGCTGTTTTGACCAATTTCTGTGCGATTAAAAATTGAAACACGATGCAGCTGTTATTGCTAATTACGAAGAGATTATTTTATTGTATCTATTTTGGGACTCATTGTCTTATCATCATTTTACTTAATCTTCGAGACATCGAATAAGGAACTAATTCATATATATTATAATGAGATGCTACTGATATACGATCTTTAATCGTATTTTAATAACGTCTGTCGCAAATCTATGACTTGGGAAGAGAGAAGTGCTGCTAATGTATCTGTCATGTCTATGATGTGTCGTTTCTAATGTATCTGTCATGATCTGTGACATTTCCATGGTAATGTCTGTCATTGTCTATGTATGTGCAAATTTCTACCCTCTATACTTCAACGCTCATTTAAAATTGTATTTTACGAAGGGATTATAATTTGAAGTTCGTAGTTTAGAAAAAAAAATGATTAATTTAAATCATATGAAGATTTGTACGGAAAATAATTGCTTTGTATACTTCACCAATTTAATCTGTACATGATGTTATCTAAGTGTACAAGTTCAAATGAAAGTATATATTCGATAAAGTGTTAATGGAAAAACCTTTCTTATCGAGTTGATATTTTATTTACCAGCAACTGTTGACAGATTAATGAGGGAACTATTCAACGTGATTCATTGCTATTTAAATTATAAGCTTTCGGTACAGAATAAGGATAGTTTTGCTGAATTTTTATTATTGGATAGGACATTAACAGAAAAGCTGAACAGAAGATTTTTGACTTGAAAGTGTGTCTGTAAATAGGTCATTTCATCCTAAAAAGATCCAAAAAATTTCAGTCAAAACAATATCTTTTTATTTTAAGATATCCAACGTGAAAAATTCGATTCAATACCAGAGATAATCCAAAAAATTAGACTTTCAATATCTTAAGAAAGAAACAACATTTTTTTTACTGAAATTTTTCGAATATTCTAAAGATAATAAGACTTATAGACGCTATTTCAGGTTGAAAATCTTTTGTTGAATTTTCATGTCAAAACTCTATCCAATAGTAAAACTGTCATCATTTTATAGAGAAGGTCTATTGAACTGAACTATTTTGGATCTATTCTAGTCTTAATATTACCTCTGAATGTTCAAAATATGAGATCAATAAAGGTGGTTTACTTGAAACAATTCTCTCATGAGATAATCCTTCAAATGTTCGTCGAAGATCAAGCTTTCTAAGAATTTCTAGTTTCAGAAAGACTTACTCAAAAGCATTCCTTGAAATAAAACAATAACGCATGATTAGAAGATATTTTCTAAAAATTTATTATAATAAACGATAAATATGGTATGAAAGTTATTATATTCGATTGTTGATCATAATAATTTTCACTACTAGAAAAGAAAATATAAAATTCACTGCAAAAATCTATCACTCAATTATATACTAATCAGAAATGAGATAAAATGAAATGGTTAATTGAAAAATTAATTTGGATTCTGAAACTAGGCCTAAAATTTAGATCAATAATTAATGAACAGAAATTAGGTGGAGCCTGTCGGTTTGATCTCGGATACGACTCAATAGATTATAATCTACGAATCTCAGTCAACTAGGACTTGACTATTATAATATCATCGTCAAGATTGTCTGAGAAATGTATAAAATGTGTTTTTAATATAAATTTTTTTCAAAATGAATACATTATACATTATATATAATCAGTTTTTTTATCAATTTATTAATGAAACCTTGACAAATCGACATAGATATTAGGATACAAATTCGGTTTTCATTCGAACATGGTTTTTCAGTATAGACCTCGTTTTTTGTGCATTTGATAAAGACTTCCAGAGAAAGACTTACGCTATGTAATAGTGCATGCATCGTCAAGTTATATTGCGTACCGTTCTCATGTCAATAGATAGTTCCATCTATGCCACTTATTACCGTGAATGTGACGAAGATGACGCTGTCTATTGATATGCCTATCTGCATTTTCATCGGAATTTTTCTGTATACGGTCGTTTATAGTCCACTACGACACCTAAACGGACTCTGTTTTCTGACTATTCTGCAAACAGTAATACAGCCGTATTACAGAGCACAAAATTACTGTCAGAATACGATCCGTTTGTGTATCTTAAATTAATCGTAAACGGCCGTATACGGTTCGTATCATTCAACCTTATTAGTCAGATATTGTGAAAATCATTTACATTTAATTTTTTTTAATGATTTTATAGACAAATTCTTATAAAATGTTTTCCATTTTTAGTCATCAGAAGCCTCTGCTTCTAGCAATACTTCAGTTAACAAGTCAATAAATACGAATGTTAAAATGATTCAAGATTTGTTTCCTGATTTAGATGAAAAATATATTAAAGTAAGTTGAATAGAAGTAAAAAAGAGAACAGAATAAAAGAAAAAGATTATTTCAAAAGTTTTAAACCCATTTTGTCCATAAAATCAAGTGTTTCAAGTGTGTCTTCAAATGTTTCAAGTGACACAGTTGAATTAGATTGTTCATCAGTAAATTCTCCAAGAACTTTTTCTGCTATAATCGATGCTTCTTCATCACTAATTTTACCGACCTATTAATAACAAAACGTACATATTGATTTAAACTGTTTTTTTTTTATTGATTTACCATCAGTTTAAGTGTTTCTTGTATGTCTTCTTTTGATAAACGTCCATCACGATCAATATCATACATCTAGATTAATAATATTCGATTAGAAAAAAGAAATTAATTCAATCATACACGAAACATAAATTTAATTTTGCGTGTTTTTGGTGTATCATCTGGAGAATATTTTACATTTTCAAGATCAGTTAATGTTGATGATCCTAATTGAGGCGTATTATTTGATGTTAATGTTTGAACTGATGAACGACGTTTTCCATAATGATGATGGTGATGATGACGATGATGATGTTCATGTCCACCTCGTTCACATTGACTAAATGTACTCATAAAATTAACAAATTGTGGAAATGTTAATTTATCATTGGAACCAAAATCATCGAAAATAACTGTTATTAACCGAGCTGCTATTGGATTTTCATCAAATTTTGGTACACGACCAAAATCATTACCATCTAAATAACCTTTATATCCTTTTGCTTCACCTCTATCATCACAATCAAGTTCATAAAAACGAGTCCATAATGCAGATATTTGCTTTTTTGAAAGACCTAATTCAATCATTATTCATTCATAGGATTCAAAAAAAAAAACAGGATGTTCATTTACCTGTATTATTTATAATTTCATCAAAATTAATTGAGTCTGGTATTGATGGCGTAGAACCCATTTCTTTCTGCTTCTTTCGTATGTCTAAGATTAGATTCTTTTTATTAAATACCGAACGTATTCTAAATGGCAAGTATATTTTTTTTATAAAACGAGAAAGAGAATACGAAAAGGATTGCTTTTTTTTTCGAACATATACAAATGCATGAAGTGGTGCATTCAACCATTATTATCATTGCTACCTACCGAACTATAGTGCAAACGTGCGAGTCTTCGTCAAGAATAAGAAAAAAGAAACAGAGAGGGAGAAATAAATCTTTTTATTTTTTGTATGGAATATAAATGAAGCAAAAAGAGAGGGGAAATCGATGTGAGAAAAAGTTCAGATATTTCTTTGTAGTTGTAAAGAAGAAATGATATATTTTAATGCTATTATTTGATGATTTTAGAGTGATAATTGTAAAAAAAAAAAATGAAGAAATTTCTATTTTGCGTGATGAGAAAAGAACCAGAAGAATAGAATAAAGTCATATTCATGAAATAGACATAATTCTCTTGAGTGTTGTTTTGCTTGTGTTCTTCTATTTTTTCCTATTGCATCGAATATGAATAGTTGGGTGTCAAATATATGAATAAATCGACCTAGAAGTTATTAAGCGCTCTAAACAAATCCAATAGACATGATAAATTATAATGAGTAACACATAACAATTGGGAGACGGCTTAATATTCTTGTTACTAGTTCCCTTTTTGTTTTTCTTTGTCCAAATCGAATGTCTGCACAAAGACAGAGAAAATCACATATCGTGCTAATATAGAAAACAAATGAGAAAATATGATGATAAATTCTAAATGCACTAAACAGTTGCCTACATGCATAGTCCGGAAAATAATCTGATAAATCTAATTAATAATGCATTAATTCATCTAAAATATATAATTAGAAAGCAAAAGTAAGAGTTCTAATCTTTTCTTTCTCTAGGTTTGTCTTAATCACTATAATAACAATACTGAACGTCTTATTCATGCTCTATGTGATCAAACTGTTCCTGAACATCTCAGATTTGATACAACAAGTACAGCATTACCCCTTCCACCTTCATCAAATATCACAAATAAAGATGAAAAACCATTTGCTAGCAACGATTTGTCTATACTTGGACAACGTTCAAATATATACGATAATGATGAATTTGATATATTTAATCGAGATAATATTGATCTAACAAGAATACATCGAGGAAAAAAGTTTGTAAAAATATTTTCTATAATAACATTCATGGTATTTTCTGAAAATAAATTGATTCTTTCAGAACACAAGACACACTTGCAGATCTTGATGACAAATCTCATCTAATAGGAATGAGTGAACGCTATGCTCGTTTAGGTATTATTGAAGATGTAACAGATGAAGAATATGATGATGAATATGATGATACTTATGATGATGGAATTGTTAATGTTAGAGATAAAGATGATATAATTGATAAGGAATTAGAAAAGAATGAAAATAGGTTTGACATTCTTAAAATTCTTTTTCTTCTTGACATAATTATTTCGTTTTCTTATTAGATTATTTGGAAAACAATCTCAACATTATCGTCAACAAATGGATAATGAAGATGAAGAAGAAAATGGTGAAAGTCAAGTAATGGGTTTTTTTTATTAATATATTTCTATTTATATAATAATTAAATTATTTATAGGCTAAACGTCGGGATCAATTTGTTGAAAATCCTGAAACAGTTCGTGAACGAAGAGCACAACAACGAGCAGCTTGGCAACAACGTCATCAACCACATCGATCACATACAGAAGAAACACATAATGTTGTTGGTAGTGCTCGTGGTCGTGGTCAATCAACAACCGTTACACATAATCGACGTTGGAAAGATACACATAAATCTTCGCAAGCAAATCATAATCGTCGAAATCGAGCTGCTCAAAAATCTAATCGAGGATTACTTTCTTAAAAAATAAAATCTTTTGTGTTTTAATCATTTTGAATAAACATCATTTATTTTACAATTGATAAAATAGTTTACCTTTTTTTTTCCTTTTTCTATATTCCAGATGACAAGTGAAAAACAAGAAAAAATTGACGAACAACTTCGTCCATTATATGCTGAATTACAAAAATATGGACAAACACAAGATTGGGATCGAGCATTAAAAACTACACGAAAAAGTATTTTTAATGAATGAATTTAATTTGAAACTATGTTTTTGTTTTTTAATGTTGAATAATTAGTATTGGGTATTTCAAGTAATGAAAAAAAAGCAACGTATTGTAAAATAGTGTGTTTAATGCAACTTGATAAATTCGATGAAGCATTAACTACACTGGTTAAAAATGCAAGTGATACAGCGTATGAAATTAGAGTTTTTTTTTCTTTTCGATAAAAAAAAAAAAAACTTTCTTTAGAGATTTATTTTTTGAACGTGCTTATTGTGAATATCGTCTTAATCGTATTGAAGATGCTTATAATACATTAAAAAGTATCGAAAGAGAATTAAATGAACGTGAACAAGAACTTTTTGCTCAAGTGGTTTGTTGAGAATTTTGTTTTCTTTTGTTTTCGATTTTCATAATTTTTTTATTTTTTAAAAGCTTTTTAAACTTGAAAAATATAATGAATGTGTTGGATATTATCGTTCATTACTTAAAAATAATCAGGATGAATATCAATCAACACGTCATGCGAATTTTATTGCTGCTTTATCAACTTGGAAATTAACGGATCCTTCAAGCAAAATTCAAATGGTATAATGAATTAATTTAATATTATAAAAAGAAGTTTTTTTTTTTTGTAATTTATTAAATACATTAGGAACCAAATGATCTAAGTGATGAAACATATGATACAACATACAATTCAGCATGTGTTCTTCTTAGCTCGGGTCAATATGTTGAAGCAGAAGTAAAACTTCGAAAGGCTGATGGTTAATAACACAGAAGATTTGTTTTTCCGTATTAAATTATTTATGATTTATTTAGCTCAATGTCGACGTGAATTAGAAGAAGAAGGAGATATGACTGAAGATGAAATCTTACGTGAAACGGCGAATATTCGGTAAATATTTTTTTCTCTTAAAGACTACTCAATCCACGATTTTGAATTAATAATTTAACGAAAAAATATTCGTTTTCTAATATTTTTGAATAATTATTCTTTGTTTCATAACACGAAAAGTATATCTTTCATCTATATTTTTCTGTAAAAGTACATTTCAATTAAAATTTTTTTGAACAACAGGAAAACCAAAATGTCTAAGTAGATTCATATAAAATGAACGGTTAATGAGAAAAAAATGCTTTCGACTGTCAAAGTTCATTTGATTGCATATAGGTTTCTATTAGGTTGAAAGATCGTAAGTAATTAATGAGAAATAGAAATTCCTACTCGTCTATTTCCGACTTCAACAACTTCCCCGACCAAATTAAATATTATTTACAATTGTTGGCATTTTCATTTATATTCATGAATGTTGAGAATAGATGAATATTTTAAGTAAACACATTACATGGGCTGCCAGAAGGGCATGAATTTTAAATAGATATGTAGAATCTACTACTGGTATATGTGAATGTGTGTTTGGTGAAAATTATTGCATATCTAAAACTTTTTGAGAAGTATAATTCCCATTAAGAAGAAAATCTCAAAATTACTAAACCATTTCTTTTGTTAACTTAGTTTTTTTCTATTCATTTGTAATAGTCAACTTTAATATTTTCTTTCTTTTTCTATTGATAAGAAGTGAGAAGGTATTATTACGTTCAAAATAATTCCTGTGCAGTGTTTCTCTTAACACTTTACTTTCCAATAAGTTTACACTTCGATAAAATTGTCTCTGATTCTGTCGTATTTTGTTTCCGTTGAATATCTAATCAGTATAATCTTTTGATTTAAAACACTAAAAGCTTTCTCAAGCACACATTCAGAAACAATCTTCTTGCAAGTGAAATCGACATAACAGTTAAATAAAATATAATTGGACAAATGTTTTCAAACTGAAGCTTGTAAAAACTTATATAGAATATGCCTTTGAAAGAAAAATCGAGAAACACTAATGTTTAACGTTATTGTTGATGATGACGAACATCAATAAGAACAAAAAACTTTGTTAGTGCAGCATCTGTGGGGCTGAAATGTGGAACCCATATGTGTTTTTATAAATATTTTTATGCTAATACAAAATACGTAAAGTGAAAAAATCTCCAATAAACAATAGTTGTTTTTCAAGAACAGTTGACCGCCACTGGAACAGTGGGTCTTATTTTCTTTCACGCTATTTTTTGTTTGCCTTTTTGCTATCCATTTGTTATTTTTGTTTCTTCTTATTCCATTTTTCTTAATTAAACATTATTGTTATTCTTACTATTGAGTTAACTGGTAAATAGGTCTGTTGTAAATATCAATTATAACCATAGCAGGTTTTAATGTACTATTATATAACTTGATAAACTCACAAACACTGACATTTATTATTTTCCAAACTTATAATTTGATCGGTTCATACTTTTTATGGTGAACATAAGGCGACGGTAGCAAATCCAATCATCACTACCTATCATTTTTGACATCTTTAATAGAAGTTTGTTTTTCTTTGCGCAAAAATCAGAAGTTGCATTGTTCAGAACATTCACAAACGTATTTCAACTAGTCAAGTTTCGACAAAGATTTTGGAATGTTCTAGAATTTTCTAAAACAGTATAAGTCTGGTTGTTATTTCTGTGCAGCATCTTTTTCTATTGCTAAGAAATTCTGGGAAAGGAGTCGCGAAATCTCGATTTAAATTTATACGCACCATTTTCTCCGAAAATATATGTGAGTTTTACAAAAAACTTTCATAATATCACGTGTACAGTTGAAGTGAATACTTTGAAAAACGAAATCGTGGAAATGGATAGACTTAATTGATGATAAATAAAAAAAAAGTTATTTTTTTTTTATCAAGATAGGTAAATGATGATAAGTGTAATTTTTATGTACTCTTTTTTTCGTAAATGTTCGTTCTAAGCAAAGAATAATATAAGGACACAATTAGCCAAAATAGAACAAGACCATTCTCGATTTGATTTTGAGTATTTATAAGGACTATTTTCTTGCAAACAAGTCGTTTTACCATGACCATATATAAAAATTTTGGTTCTTTCGACTCACATCTAATAAAAATTAATTAGTTAGTTAACTAAAATGTAATTACCAAGTAACTCTCTGATTTTATGATGGAAAAATTCAAGAATTTCAGGATAAACTTCACGTTAAAAACTATAATTTTCAACAAGATTTGACTAAATTCTAATTGTCTTTTGTATCAAAAAAACATCACGTATCTGTTTTGTTTTTACTAGACAGAGTATTTATTTGCATTGATTAATATTGTAATGTATGCGTCAATGATTTCTTCCGCATTGACATGGAAAAATGATTTTCACAAGTACTTTTATGAACAAGAGAAGTAAAAAAAATTCTTCATTCTTTTTGGCTTGCAAAATAATTCAACAAAACTTAACATCATCATACATATTTATACTTTATATATCATTTGTAAACCATGGAAAATTCGAAGACAAATACAAATCAATAAAAAAATACTAATAAAAAAGGATAAGCTTAAAGATCCTCTCTGTTTTTAATCGAACTTTGGACAGATAAACTTGATCTCAATTGAATATACTCACGACCTATATGATGACTTCCTAGATTTATTCAGGTTTCAATTCAGTATATACATAATTCTAGCAGTTAGGACAATTTTTTCAAAAAAAAAACATACTTTTCGAGAAAATTCTTTATTCGTGCGACAGATTCTGTATTTCTGAATTGAAAGATAAGTAACAGTCAATTTCGAAATTATAAAATTATTCATTTAAAAAGTTAGAATGGTAGCAATGTAAGCCGTCATACAGACTAACATTTACAGTGACTGATATTTTCAGCAATGGTATCAACATCTCAATCAATTAGCTTATAGTTTTAGATAGACATTGAAAACTGTTGATTTTTCATCTTTCCTTTACTAGCACAATTAATTTTCGAATAAGAATATCGCAATATAAACAAAAATCTTGATGCTTAAAAATTATTATCACAACTTTGTATAGTGATATCTTATGCTTTGTAAATTCTCTAATAATTTAACGTTCTTTTACTCTATCTATATTTCAGAGTACAATTAGCCTATTGTCTTCAACAACAAGATAAAAATGTCGAAGCATTGACACTCTACAATGATGTACTCAAATCAAAGTATAATTTCTTGATATTTTCTTCAAAGTTTTATTTATTTTATGTTGTAGACCAACAGATTTAGCTGTTATTGCAGTTGCATCAAATAATTTAGCTGTACTTAATCGTGATCAAAATTTATTTGATTCACGTAAACGTATCAAAACAGCAGCAGCACCTGAAACTGAACCAAAATTAAATGCTTTTCAAAAGAAAATTGTTCAAGTTAATGAAGCATTATTAGCTATTTATACAGGACAGGTTAATAGGAAAAAACATAAATTAAAATTTATTTATTTATTTTGTTCATTTGTATTTTAGCATGAAACAGCTCGACGTATTCTTGATAATATGGTACAAAAAAGTACTGATACTGATGACAGTATTCCATTAGCAAAAGTATCATTATTAATGAGAGAAAAAAAATTACCTGAAGCAACTCAAGTGTTACAAGTAAGAAAGCTGTTAGCGCAATCACTGTGGGATTAAAATGTGAAACACGATATACCTGTTAACCGCATCTTTAAGGAGAGAATCTCCGAGGCATCCGTCACAGTCTGCGATCGGTTATCAAGATGCCTGCTACAGTATACGATGAATCACCAGGATGTCTACCATTGAGTCTGGAACTTCGGTCCAAGGAATTTTCAGTTTGGACTTGAATTGATCTCATTAATCCCTATTAAAAAGCACTATTTTCTTAATTAGTTCCTACATTCCGTAGTACTGAGCAACATGCATTTTCATTAAGATATACTACTCAGCAAGATGATGTAGTACTCAGCAGAAGGGTATAGTGTTACGTAATATGAATTTTGATCATATTACTGATATAGCGTCCTGTTCGGCACTACATCGTCTTGCTCAGCACTATCTCGTTCTATTCAGCACTGCGAAAAGTAGCAACTAATTAAAGACATAAGGCTTTTTATAGGGGCGAATGAAGCCAATTGAAACACGGGCTAAAACTTCATTAACTTGTCTGTTTCGACCTGTAATGAGTCGCCAGAGTGTCTGTGGAGAAGAATGAATCCAAGTTTCTACTCTATATACTTCAGTAGTCCTTTTATATCACCTTTCACAAAACAAAAGAGAACAGAAACAGAAACTGATGAAAATTAATTTTTATTTTCGTCTAGGAATTTATTGAAAATGATAAACAACGACGTATTTCACTCTATTGTCGTTTAACATATGTTCAACTTCTTCTTTCACAAGGTTTTTATAATTATATTCTTAATCTTTGTTTATTATTAAAATATAACTTTAGGAAAAGTTCATCAAGCATGTGACTATTTAAGAAGTGATGAAGAACTATTAGTTAAACCGGGCATTGTATGAATATTTTTTGTTTCTTTGTCATATTGTTTTCTAAAACCATATCTTTTTTTTTCTAGGTAGCAACATTAGTTACACTTTATAATTATCTAGAAGATTCAAAATCTGCTGCACAAGTTCTTAATGAAGCTGTTGATCGTTTATATAATCTTGATAAAACTAAAGGAAAAAATTCACGTGCACTTGCTTATTTAATTAAACAAAATATAATTTATCAAGAAAAACAAGGCAATGAAAAACGAGTTACTGAAATGCTTGAAATTCTTCATAAGTATTTATTAGTTTTATTAATTGAAATTAATTAATTTTATTTTTGCTTTTGCTTCTGTTTAGACTTTATCCAAATGATACAAATACATTATCAAAATTAATTGTTCATTATTTAAAATCAGATCCTGAACGAGCTAATTTATTAGCACAAAAATTACCATCAATCAAACAATTAGCTGAAGGTATTGATGTTGATATGCTTGAATCAATATTTGGTAAACGAGTACAAAAAACAGAAAAAACAATTGAAAAGTAATTCAATTATTTCCTAATGATAAACACTTAATGAGTATCTTTCTCGTTTTCTTGTTATTGAAGAACAAAATTAGGTGATTCAGGGTCGACAACAACTACAACAGTAACAATGAGTAGTACAAAACAAAGAAAACGACGAAAGCGAAAAAGTAATTTAATTGCATTATGATTGTTGATAGCAACAGAAAACAAAAATATTTTTTTTTTGTTTTTAAGTTCGTTTACCAAAGAAATATGATCCATCATCAAAACCTGATCCTGAACGTTGGTTACCATTACGTGAACGTTCATATTATCGTGGTAAAAGAGGAAAACGTGGCAAACAGGCTGCTGTTGGTAAAGGTACACAAGGTGCAGTTGGACCTGATCAATCAGCTACTACTACTATAACAACACCAACAGGAGCTCAAAGATCTATGCCATCATCAAAAACAACAACAGGTGCATCGGGTTCAACATCAACTCAACCAAAACCAATGCCACCATCAGGCAAATCAGCTGCAGCTAAGAGAAAAGGCAAACGTTAAAAACTATTTCGTTTTTAAAATATTGTCATTTTTTTGATTCGATAACTCATTTTAGCAATAAAGAAACTGATTCTTAATATATTAATATTTACTGAGAAAATAATCAAGTAAATATTACATTTTTCGAAAAAAATAGACCATATTTACACTTTCGTTGGTATTTGCCAACAATATCGTGTCAAATAGGTAAATATTATGGTGCTTATCAATTCAAACATTTCTTTCGACACTTTGCATTGGTTGAAAAGATCATCAAATGCTTGTTTCATAAACATTTTGTGCATAAACTTGAAACTCGCCCACTGTTGACGCCTTTTTTTACAACATTAGTCATTGTGGCTATGATCGGAAGTGAGAAATTTCTCCTTTTCTAACTATAAATGAGAACGATTGCCAGCCTTTATATAAATACGTAGTCAATATATTCACCTGTAGCATACTTATTAAGATTTGCCATATTGTTCATAATAAAAAGAAACCAAACAAGAAACAAAGCGAGAAGAATTCAAAATAAAATTATTTACTTTTTTTGTATTCTTCATGATTCTTTCGATTTCGAGTGAACAGCACACATTTAACGATTAACAAAGCAGACTTTTTTGTGATGCAGCCTGAAGGTAAGTTTTCTTTCATATATTTCTATTTTAAAACAATAATTGTATTGTTTTTCTTTTCATTTTATTACAGTTAAACTTGTACCCACAACAAAAAATGTACATAGTCGCTGTTTTTTATTACCTAGACGTCATGGTGTTTATCCAACGGAGTTAAAAGAGAATTCTCATAGTCATCATTATAATAATCAAGATAAACAACGACAAAAGGTGGAAGCTTACGTTTTTAGTAAATTAGAAGAATATTCGAAAAAAAAGTCCATCAATCTTTTACATTTAACATCTCTTTCTCATATTCGTCGACGTTTAAAACGTGATATTAAATCGCTTCATGGACAATTTGATTCAAATACTGTATCCGAAGAAAAACTTCATCAATGGATTGATGAAGTTCTTGAACAAATCGAATCCCATATATCACAATTACAATCATTATTTCAATCACAAGATGATCTTGAACATTTTCTTACATCNCACCTGTAGCATACTTATTAAGATTTGCCATATTGTTCATAATAAAAAGAAACCAAACAAGAAACAAAGCGAGAAGAATTCAAAATAAAATTATTTACTTTTTTTGTATTCTTCATGGTTCTTTCGATTTCGAGTGAGCAGCACACATTTAACTATTAACAACGAAGACTTTTTGTGATGCAGCCTGAGGGTAAGTTTTCTTTCACATATTTCTATTTTAAAATAATAATTGTATTGTTTTTCTTTTCATTTTATTACAGTTAGACCTGTACCCACAACAAAAAATATACATAATCGCTGTTTTTTATTACCTAGACATCAAGGGGTTTATCCAACGGAGTTAAAAGAGAATTCTCATAGTCATCATCATAATAATCAAGATAAACAACGACAAAAGGTGGAAGCTTACGTTTTTAGTAAATTAGAAGAATATTCGAAAAAAAGGTTCATCAATCTTTTACATTTAACATCTCTTTCTCATATTCGTCGACGTTTAAAACGTGATATTAAATCGCTTCATGGACAATTTGATTCAAATACTGTATCCGAAGAAAAACTTCATCAATGGATTGATGAAGTTCTTGAACAAATCGAATCCCATATATCACAATTACAATCATTATTTCAATCACAAGATGATCTTGAACATTTTCTTACATCAGATCAATTTTTTTCATCAAGAAATATTAATAATCAATGGAAACAATTACAATTACAACAAGCAAAAAACGTTTTTTTAAATAATACAAATGATAATGATGAGGAACTTTTATCGAAATATCAAAAATATATTATAGAAAAGTTTACACCGAAAGAACTTCAAAATAATAAAATTACATTAAGAAATAAACAAAAAATGGATTTAGATGAAAAATTTCAAGAAGTAGAAGTTTTTGGACGAAAATATTTAATGGAAATGCTTGATAAATATAAACAACGTCAACATCCTAAATTAGAATTGATTCAAGAAATGATTGAACTTGGAATGAAACAAATGATTAAAAGACCGAAAAAAGATGAATTTCGTCAAGCATCAATATCATCAAATATTCTTCATAAAGCAACATTTATTCTCAAAAGTAAACAATCATATTCAATGTCTCTTCACAATTTAGCCGATGATTTTATGGTTAGTATTTATGTTTTTAAATAATTGATATATTTGTCACAGGTAGAATTCGTTTATTAATTAAGTATAAAATTACACAATAATTTTCTTCTATTTAAAAATGGCTTCTAATTTTCGTTTACATAAACAAACAGTATCGATTTTCACTTATTCATATTGCAATGTATATACGTCAATGACTTCTTTTCAATCAACATTAGAAAACGATTTTAAAAAGTCTTTTTATGAACAAATAAAGAAACATTTTAAACTTTTGGAGTATTAAATTCCTAGAGAAGATAACTATTATTCTACTACAGGAAATATAGAAGCTTCAACATCTTTCATTCGTTTTAGTTGGAAAATAAATCAACAAAATTTAACAGTATTATATACTGCTCATCCTTTACATGTCATCTATGAATCACATTAAGTTCGAAAACAAATATACATCACTCAAAAATACTACTCAAAAAGAATAAGTTTAAAGATCCTTTCTTTTTTTCTTTAGTTGGAACTTGGAAAGATAAACATGATTTCAATTGAATACACTCGCGACCTCTACATCTTCCTAGAGTTAATCAGATTACAAACTGAATATACTCACAGATTTTACAACTTCCTAGACTTAACTAGACTTCCATTAAAGTTAAACATAATTTAATATAGATATATAAAATCGGTTCTTTACTTTCATCTTTTTGGATTTTTTTAATTTTTAAATCTTTTAATAACTCTGTTTAATTTTATTTAAATCTCAACTTTGCCTGACACATACTTTTGTTTCTTTTGAGGGAAAAGAATGCTGACAATAATCATGCAGTAGTAGTGCATATTCATCTTCTAATTAAAAATCAAACACTAACTCAATGTAACAATCAATCAGAATTGTACCGAAAAAGATCTTGGATATTCAATCTTCTCTTTTCTGTACTAGTGTCTAATACGAGTAGAGATGTGCGACACCAAGTTTAGTTCCAGTCCTGATGACTAGAGCCTGGGTCACTGGAAAAAAGTTGTTCGAATGAGTATTGAAGAAACTTTTTAAGCGTTATATAAGTAAGCTTGGAATAGTTTTCTATAGACCGAGACTAAGACTAGGACTAGAACCACGGTCGGAATCAGGACTAAGACTGAGACTGTGACCTAGGTTAAGATCAGTACCAAGACCGGGGTCGAAACCAAGACCACTAGAAAAAAAATTATCGAAACTAGGTCAGATTTATTGAGACTATCACCGAGATCAATAGAAAAAAGTTACTGGGACCAGAAAAACTTGATCCTGCATATCTCTAGTGTGGTACTAAGCTTCTTTTTAGTATCCATAACTTCGATTTTCAATAATCACGGTCATAGTTCTGGTACATCTTTATCTTCCCTTAATCATATTTTGATTGATATAATTTACATGATAACTTGCTAAAAACAATAGAACATTTAACTATGATCTTTAGTTCATGTTCGAACGACTTTTTTCCTCTTTTTTCCAATCTCAGCTTCGGCAATTTCTCTTTCTCATGTCACTTTGAAGATTAGGCACAAACTGACGTATTGTTATTAATATCTCTTTTCACTTCCATTAGTTCATATTTGTCAATATGTAATTTCTATCAAACGAAAGAAATTGTGCTAGCATAGAAGTTTCATTAATATTTTCTTGACATATATATTCAATCGTCTATTTTAGTTGTTACGTTTTGGACATTCCTTAGACCATGAAAATAATGCTGACGAGACTATAAGTGATCGGTTTATAGCTCGTATTCATATGTTTCTCAATACAATTTCTCTACTTATTTACTTATTAAAAGCCAACTCATCTGAATCTTTTTCACCATCTTCACTATTTAGTCCATTTAATTCTGATTTACCAAAAGGACATATTCTTTCACCACTCATTTATATTGATGAATGGACATGGATATTAGAAAAATGGAAAACAGCATTAGAAACATTGCCAATTAGTCTTACAAATCAAGGTGCTTTTAGTCGACTGGTCCGTACGACTATTGGTGTTGGTGTTTCTCGACTGTTTAGTTTTACTATAAATAATGAACAAGATGAACTTGATGAGAAAGTTTTTCAAGCACTTCAAATGGGTTTTTATTATGGTATTGCTTATGCTCTTGTTGATGGTCTTCAAGATAATCAAAATCATCAACAAGAACACTTTGATGTTGATAAATGGCTTGAAAAAGCAGAACATATTTTATGTGGTGCTCAATTGAATACATCTTCATTACCTCAATTACCGATTACTCCTCTTCTGATTGAAACATTTCATAGTCTTGTTCAACTGACGTCAATAAGTTCAATTACTGAACAAACATTTACTGATCTTGCTTTACTTCTTCGTTCACAACGAGTAGATAAAAAAGATTTAGAAAATTCGAATTACAATGATATCGATCTATTTCTGGGTCCTCTATTAAAATCTCATTTTACTTATACTGCAACAGCTTTTATGGGTGGAGCAAATATAAATGAAAATCATCAACTTTTATGGATAACACCTTTTTTAGGACAATTAACAGATGATTGTCGAGATTTTAATGAAGATTATCAAGCAAAATCAATAACACCTGTAACATATTATGTTCAACATAATGGTTCATCATTTAATCCATTTTTTGTTTTTTTATTCGTTTGTGAAGATCTTTATGTAGAAAGTAATCATCAAAAGAATACAGGGGCATTTTTAGGACGACGAATAATGAGAACATTACGTTCACTTGGAGGTGATTTTAAAAATTTTCTTACAATTTTTACGGAAAAACAATATCCGAAGTTATATAAATACTTTCTTTCATTAGAAAATCTATTTCCAAGTATTGGTGATCCAGAAAAAGCAGTATTTCGTTATATTAATTTGTTTGCAAAAAATTATTCTCTTAATCATCGAAAACTTGAAACATTTGCATATGATTGTTTACCTTTGATTGAAAAACAATTATCAATAGAAACAGATGATAATAATTTACTTGTTCATGGTATGAATTATAGTTTAAAAGCTGGTGGAAAACGTTTGCGACCTTTACTTTTACTTATGGTTACACAACTTTATAATATTGAAATTAAACGTATATTACCACTTGCTCGAGCTCTTGAATATCTTCATACAAGTAGTTTAATATTCGATGATCTTCCAGCACAGGATAATGCACCATTAAGAAGAGGTCAACCAACACTTCATATGCCGATTGATGGTGATCATAATGATATTCCACCATCATTAACTGAAGGACGAGCTCAATTAGCTGCTGTAGATCTCATTGCATTTGCTATTCGTTCAGTTACTGTTGATCTTCAAAAAGAAAATTTTTCATATGAATGTATAAATCAAGTCACTGCTGAAATAGCACAATCAATGAGTGAGCTTTGCAGTGGACAATTTCTTGATTTACAATGTTCAAGAACGAAAAAATCATTAACAATTGATGAACTTGATCGTATAGCTTATTTAAAAACCGGTAAAGCTATTGAAATTGCTCTTATTTGTCCAGTTATTCTTGTTCAACAAGAACAACCATTAGATCGTTTTCGTGAACTTAGTCGATTAATGGGTATTTTATTTCAAATGAAAGATGATTTACTTGATGTTGAAGGTGATACGAATGAGCTTGGAAAAAAAATAAATATTGATGAACAAAATAAAACCGTAACTTATATAAGTTTATTGGAAGTAAAAGGAACGCGAAATCGTATTGTAAATATAAGAAAACAAGTAGAATCGCTTCTGAATGATTTATGGCCACAAGCTGGCACAATTAGAAACCTTATTCAATATATTTGTGAACGAAAAAAATGAGACATGAAATCACTTTCGTTTCGTTGTTATTTACTTTTCACTTGTCGATATTCCTTTTTATTTGTTTATTTTATAACTTTTTCAAGCTCAACTTAGAGTTTATATAATATTCATTATTAAAATGTATTTATTCAATGTTCTAATGATATTTATGTGTATTCATAGAGTAGCTACACTACTGGCCAATAAAGTCTCTCGTCAGAGTTCAGTCCGTATGAGAGTTAGACATCTGAAAATTTATGTGCAAGTGGTCTGTAGTAAATATGGGTCAGTGATATCGTCAGTACTGAAATCGCTTAAGCTAGAACGGCGTTATAATAAATAACATACATGACCTACTGTGAATCTCGTAACTAAGAAACAAAAAAGAATTTAAAGCAAGGCAACCACTCGTATTGTAGCTCTACATTATAACTATCTTTGGTATATATTTTATCAAAGTCTATAAAGCCATTGATGAATGGTACCATTCCAATAGTTCAAAATATTATAGACAACTATTGAGCACTAAATAATTCAGCGAGAAATTGATGCATTGACATGAAAGTTTTAGAAAATAACACTATATACTTAGCAGAAATAAGGCATAAAGGATTATTGTGAACTTGTCAAGACTCTACAGTCTTTCTTACTCGAGAAAATGAGCTCATCTTTAGAGCAACGAAGGACTATGACTTTGGCTATCACTTCTTACTAAAAGATTGAAAAGTGTTGTTTTTCAGAAGATTAAAAATGGCACATCATTTATTAAGTCTATTGTTTACTTCTTTTCTGACGAAATGAGGAAGCATGTTTGTATGTCAATATTTCACTTACTAAATCGTAGCGGATGATTTAGAATTCCATGGAATAATAGGAACCATCTACTTCTAAATATGTCGAGATGTGCATTTCTTAGACTATAGAGGAAGCAATTGCTAGAGAATGACACCATTTCACTTATATGTACTAGGTTTTTTATAAGTATCAACGATTTAAAATCCAGTATTGTATGATCTATTGGCAACAGCTAGATATTATTGTTTTCTAAGAACTTCGAACGATTTGAAAAGTGAAATGTTGACATCCAAAGACGCTTCCTCATTTTGACGCAAAAAAGTAAAAATAGACTTGACTAAATGATGTGCCATTTTTAATCTTCTATATCCGAGTAATTTTCTATCTTTTAGTAGAAAACTGTAGTTCAAGTCATGCAGTCCTTTATTTTTCTAAAGATGAATTCATTTGCTTCAGTAATGAAAACTTTCAAGTCTTGGCAACTTCACAATTATCATTGATGCTCTATTTCTCTCAAACAGTGTTTCCTTCTAAAACTTTCACACTAATTCAGCAAGATTTTGCTAAGTTATTTAGTGCATAATATTTTCTTGGGCTATGCATGTTTTCAGTAAAAATGATTCAGTTCATCAATGGCTCGATGAACTTTGATAAAATAGATACCAAAGACATCTATTGTGTAGAACTACAATATGTGTAATTGCTCAACTTTAAATCCAATTTTTTGTTCCCGAACTACTAGATTCACCGTAGTCATGTATGCTATTCATTATAACATCATTCTAGCTGAAAGAAACGCTCCATAAATGTATTTCAGAGCTCACAAGCGATAGCTTATTACAACTTGAATTTTGTTTTTGTAAATTTTGATTTACCGGAATTTTTAAATATGTAAATGATTGAACTATTTGCATATCTCATTACTCAGATACAACTTATTCCCAAATTTAAACTGTATTGGACTCGGCTTTCGAGGTTCACAAGAAAGTCTCAGTAAGACCAGAAAAATCCTAAAAGATTTGTGCCTTTGGGCTTCTAGAGCCGAGTTATGACCGTTTTACTAAATTTTCTTTTCGGCTTTAGATGTTTACTGAAAAATCACATAAAAGATTTTCGATCTGAAATTTTGCCCATAGATAAATCTAATGACCTCGGGAATAACTTAAAAATTTCAGTCGAAAAGAATATTCCTTTGTTGTAATATTGAATTTTCAACTAAACTCGTTTTTTGTGGCAAACGATCTTTTTCTTGAAAATTCAATATCTCAACAAAAGAATATTCTTTTTGATTGAAACTTTCAAAATATTTCTAGAATCATCAAATCTATCTATGGGCAAAATCCTAGGTCAAAATTCCATTATTTCATGTTTTGGTAAATACCTAAAGCTGGATCAAAAATTTAATAAAACTGTCATAAATTGGTTTCAGACGTGCATTGTTTGAAGATTCGTTTAGTCTTACTAAAGCTTTCTTGTGAACCAAATCTAAGCCCTAACGACATGTATTAGTTCGGGCAGTTCTCTTGTTTATCTGTCACAGGCTATGATAGAGAAAGATGTTGCTAATACACAAATTAATCTGTTTTATAATAATATATTCTTGATATTTATAATTAACCACTTTTAAGAAGATAGTTTTTTTTTTTACTACAGATCAACAATTCTTAATATTGAATTACAATAGAATTGTGAGCTTTAGTACATAACTTATGAGCAATTTTCAAGAAAAACAATTTCAGTAAAAAATTATATTTAGATATGGTTTTCTAATAATTATATCGCCGTAATGATACATCGAAATAGTTCAAGTAATTTACACACAAACATTTGAATAACCTACATCCATAAAAAAATTTCCAGTTATAATACAACAATTTTGTGAGGGCATCACTTTTGACACAACTTAATTATTCGATTGATCTGTATGTTTAAATTAACCTCAATATTAAATTATGAGATGAATTGAAAAGCTAGTTTAGTTTTATATTTTACTGCTTATAGCTTTCGATATAATAAACATATACATAGCGCATAAGATGAATGACAAATAATAAAATTAGCAAATTGTCAATGAAGTTGAAAACAAATTTGAATGATCAATAGAAATATCCCACTGTTCAAATTGACAAAAAATTATTTAACATAAGGAAAAAAGAAGAAAAAAAAGCGAGAAATAAAATCAGGATATAGATGATGACGATGGCGGTATTTGCTGTTGAGTATTTAAATTAGTTTGTTTAACAATATTGAGTGCTTGAAGAATAACTTGTGGATCTTTTCGTGCTTTAGTTGCACAATTTTCTAATGCTTCAGCAGCTTCATATTTTCCTTGACGTCGATATAATAAACTAAGATTTTTTAATGTTGTTGTTACTGTTGGTTGATCAGCTAATATTGTTTTATACCATCCACCTTGTGCATCATAATTTTCATTTGTTATTCCACTTTGAGTTTCTTGTTGTTGAGTACGAGATGAAGATTTACTTGAAATTTCTTTTTCTTGTGCTCGTGTTAAAACATCTTTATAAATTATTTCAGCTTCTTTATATTTTTGTTGTTTAAGATATGCTGACGCAAGATTATTTTTTGTTTTAGCTACATTTGGATCATCAATACCTAAAGTTTTTGTATATATCTCAATAGCACGTTTATAATATGATTCAACTTCATCATATTTTCCTTGATTTTGACAAAGTAATGCAAGATTATTAAGTTGTTTAGCAACATCGGGATGTAATGGACCAAGACATTTTTCACGAATTTCTAATGCACGTTTACATAAAACTTCAGCTTCTTTAAATTTATTTCGTTTACCTAAATGAAAAGAATTATATATATAGATAGATAGATATAATAAATCGAATCAGCTGATAATATACCATAAAGAACAGCTAGATTATTTAATGTAGCTGCCACAGCTGGATGATCAGGTCCAAGTGTCTTTTCTCGAATAGCTAATGCATCATTAAGTAAAGCAGCAGCTTCTTTGAATTTTGATTGATCACGATAAACAAGTGCAAGAATATTCAGCATTGTAGCAACATCAGGATCTAAATTACCATCAAGCAGGCATATATATTATACATGATTGAAATTTCTTTTCGTAAAAATGAACTTTTTAAGGTTGAAATTACTACGTTTTATAATAGTAAAATGTCTAATTTAACTATAAGAAATTTGTCAATATTTGAGATCTACAAAAGCAAAATCTTTTTGTTTTATAAGAAAATCGTCTCAAGCGTGACTCATCAATTGAAGTCATATTTTGCCCATAAGTAGGTCCTGACGAGATATTAGAAGGCTAAAGTTGTTTGCTTTCATTTGCACCCATTGATTTGATGTTGAACCTAGATACGATTGTGTTGGGATTCGCAAAATTTTAGTACCCGACACACTGTGGTCCTTATGCACTGTCATTCCCAAATCATTACAATGTTACTGAATTTTTTATCTCTAGCAAGGTCTCTATGAAGCTATCGAATTAGAAAATTTCACCTGAGATTTTGTCCGTAAGTAGATCTTGTGGACTTTAGAATGTTCTTAAAATTTCAGCCTAAAAAGATGGATTCTTGATGAGATATTGAATATCTCACAATAATCAGGTGTCACAGGGAAAGATTAGAAAACTTAGTCTTTATCAACATTTGATATCTCAGGAACAACATAATCCTTTAAGCTGAAAGACTCAGGACATTCTAAAGTTCACAAGACCTATCAATAGAAAAATTTCACGCTGAAATTTCTTTTTTTTTCAAGTTTCTTTTGCATATACCTTGACAGAGATAACAATCTCAGTAAAACTATAATAACTTAGGAAGAATAGTGCATGGGCACGAATCCTTATAGGCTTCTTCTAGTCTCGTCAAGGCCTACTTATGAATAAAATATCAGTTCAATTGGTGAGTCATGCTTGCAAACATTCCCTCATTAGCTCATTCAATCATTAAAAACTATTTCATGCCTTCTTTAAATCAACTCCACAAAAATCATGAATCCTTTTTTGTTCGATTTATCATATATGTAGAAAGAGATCGAACGATAAACATTTTAAACTTTGTTCTCAATAGCAAACAAAACACTTTTTTAATGCTATTTTCATGTTCCATGAGTGGAATATAAACACTACATTTTTTTTTGTATGTCGGAGTTTTTAAAAGATATGATCAGTTGATGATCTCTATGTTATAGATTGATTTAAATCTTACGTTGATGACCGGATGTTTTTTCTAAATCTTCAAGTGCTTGTCGACATAATGGTACAGCAACTTCATATCGACCTTGTGATGCATATTGAATAACTAAATTATGTAAAGTTTTTAATCTCGCTGGTATTTCATAACCAGTTGATGAAATAAATGAACCACTAGCTGATTGTGATGGTGTCATGATTAAATCAGCATAAGAATCAAACCGTCTTGATTGATTACCTCCAGTTGTATCTTGTTGATCCATATAAACTTCATCGTCATTTGGAAATAAATCATTAACAAGATCTGTTGTTTGTCCTGAAGATGTTACATTTGTTGGTGATGAATTTTTATCTCGTGTTGAATTATTGTCATTTAAATCATATTGTTTAACATCTTTGAGAAATTTCAAATGTTCAAGTTCAACAGAATATCCAGCATTTAATTGTTCACAATCATGTAATTTTTTTTGTGATGCTGCTAATTCATCTCTTAACCAAGCATTTTCTTGACATAAACGTTTTACTTGTGAACGTAATTTATGTTTTTCGGCTTCAAGATTTTGAAGATGATTTCCTAATTGCATCATAACTTGAGCTTCACCGATACCTTATAAAATAAAATAATAAATGTTTAATATATCTTCCAAATTAAATTTACCTAATTCAATCATATCCATAGATTTTCTTAATAAACCAGCCTTCTCTTCAATTTTATTCGTATCTATTGATGATGATTGCATTGATTCAAGAATATTTTCAAGCATTTTTCCATGTTCATTTTTTAAGGCTTCAAGTCCTTGAATAACGATTTTTGTTGATTGAAGAATATCTTCTTGACTCATAATCACAATCTATTTTCTAATAGGAATGATCAAAATTGACATATAATTCTAAAAACAAAATAAGAAAAAAAAAACATATAAAATATAATCAATCATTCATTCGCCATTCCTCTTTCTTCGTCTTTACACATGGGTATCCTCGACTTACTCTATTTCTCAATGATGTCGAATAGAATATTTCACTTTCCTCCAATACCTATCAACATTCGCTCATTTACTAAACGGCAACAGCTGTAATCATTATCATCCATCGATTGATAAGAAAACGTCTCATTCACACTGAGCAAGACAATACAAAAAAATATATTTTTTCAATATATAAAAAACACATAACGATATATAAATCAAACTGGTTCGAAATCATACGAACAAATTTATCAGAACATTAGCAAAAAAAAAAGAAAGTGAGAAAATGAACGAGGTGCATGTCAAATATTTCTTTACGGCTCACAATAGTGTGACCTTTTCTCTTTTCCTTTCTTCTACTCTCTATAGTCTCAGCTTTATTTGAACGCACAGAAAAAAAAGGGAATTGGACTAAGAAGAGAAAAAAGAAATGAGAGGGTGGTACTACACTATGAATGTGATGAATGTAATCATTCGAATAATACAAAAGAAAGAGAGGATAGAAAATTAGAATGCTACTGTCTTACAAACTGTGAAACAAGGATTTTAAAATCAACAATGAATAAGCAAGGACGATTTACATTTGACGAAATTTCAACTAAAATACTTTTGAAAAACATTTCACTGTTTTTTTTTTTTCGTTGAAGGATTTTAACACTCGTCGACGATTATGCGTCGTTAATGTGATCATCATATCCAGAAAAATATTTTTTTTACGAATGACTAATATTACCTGTCTATCAAAAGCAAACATGACCGAAATCGATTTGAGAAAAAGAAAGAGAAAAAAGAATGAATTTATATAGAAATAATGAGTCATTGAACGAAGCTGCTTGTTTGACAGTCAATGAGTGAGAGGAAGAGAAAGAGAGCTAATATAGAACGAGAACAGTAAATAGTTATTTTTTCAATGGTTAACTATTAAAACCATAGAGTATATTCTTTACTTTTGTATAGTATAACTTAAACTTTAGAGAATAGAGTTTTTATTTTCTGTTTCGGTTTCTGGTTAAAACATAGTTTAAGAACCTTTTCATTAGATATACAAATGTAATGTTTTAATAGATGGCGTCACAAGTAAAATGAATTGAACTATTTCATTTCAAGAACAATATAATTATCATTGGATAGGATATGATTTAAAGAAGTTGCTCGATGTTAAAGATCGATTACAATTTTTTTTCTAATAATATCACTTTCATACAGATGATAGCGAATCAATAAAAGCTCAGTAGTAAATTGAAATAATATTTGTTTTACAATCGAATTCTGTCATACAAGATTAACTTTCTCTTTCTGATAAGCGATATTGGCGTTTTAAAAGATTAATATATTAAAAAAAACAGAAGAAATCAAGAGGTTAAGTGCAGCACCTAAGCGTCAAATTTCACGACAAGATGCTGTGGTGCTCATGTACATATGAAATTAGAGTGGAAATTACAATGATAGCTATAAATAGGAGTCATACTATTTATCGAAAAAGACAGTCTTTTTTTTTTTTTTTTATAAAACTTCACTAACGGTATCCGTAGTTGAGAAATTCAAATCTCTAAATCCTGGATTTTAGAAACGTTTAGTTAAATTTCATGAAAAAAAAAATCGTTATTTTCTACAAATAATCTTGTTTTAAGTGGGAAAATCGAATTAAACTAGTATAACTTTCACGCATAGCTATCACCTTAATTTCCAGTCTAGTTCTAACTATGTGTCGGCGCTAAAACTCTTTCATTACCAAACGACACCGAAACTTGCTGACGACTTCAATTCTGTGCTTTCCCTTCGGATGAAACTGATGAACAAATAGAACAAGTCATTAAATCTTATTTTCTATTCTTATATAGATTAATCGTCGATTTAATATATACCTCTGGAAACAATTAGTTGTAGTCGATACTTTCAATATATCTCCAGTATAAAAACAAGCTTTTGAAAGAATAACCACATCTTCTGATAACGTTTGGAATTTTCTAAAAAAGTGTGTGTATAGTGTTAGACTTGCATAGAATTGCTAAAAAATATTTCGGCTAGAATGAAGACATCTTCGTCTTCAGGTTTTCCCAAACTACTTTCTGATGACTGTTTTTTGTTTCTGATTAATATTTTTCATAAGTACAATAATATTTCTTTTTAAAGTAATTATAAATTCAGATAGTACGTTAAACTCTTTAGCATCTTCTGTCTGTTCAGCATCGATTTATTTTTATTTGCTAATAAATATATAAAATACTTTTTATTGTACCTACATTTGCACATTATCAGAGACAATAGCAGGACATTTGTTCTTGTTATCTAGTAATTACATAACTTGTATGAGTAATTAGCCACCTTTCAGTCACAATCTTACTACTATGAAGTGTGAGGGTGTATAACCATTATGCAAAAAGAAATACGTACTGCACTTATTTGATGACATATAAAATACAATTTATAGGAATCAGAAAATGTGGGTACAAAAAAAAATATTTCATATATTTATCAGCAAATAATGGTAAATCGAACTTGATAAGATAGAATATGTTAGTAAAATTAAAAAAAAGACACAAGAAAGTAGTTTGCGGAAAATGGGTATGGCTGTGGGGTGTGCATTTCCAAGGATATATATAAGACTATGAAATTATCGGAAAAAACGGTAAAAGTCAATCTTAAAGACAACTGTCAAATATAATGAGAGAATTTCTATTTGAAAATACTATAGACAAAATGGATTGTATCGTTAGTTGTAGATGGAAAAACATTGTTATTCTTTGTTTATTTTTTTTTGATCAGCTTACATTAATGAAGATCATTCGTTTTTGTTATGCTGCAAGTGAAGAAAACAAATTTATTTCTTTGTCATTGTCATTCTATATGACAACAATAAGAAGAGAAAATTCATCAACCGAAAATGTTATTCTTATGTTTTGCATTCCTTGCATACTTGAGTTTTATATTATTGTAAGGTATGGGGAATAGTAAATTCTTAGTGAATGTATCAAGTAAGAAAAGCCTATTCTGTGGCATTGGAATTATATAGAGTCATTGGAATCAATAAAATCACTTGGAATCTGCTGTTTTTCCTTCGGTGTTGTCCTGACGACATCTCGAACCATTCTTTATGTTCGTTCGAATGACACAGAAGATCATCATAGGATGTGAGAGTCGATGAGGTTGAAAAGACACCGAGAGCAACATACACAGTCTCTTTTAGAGTTTTCTCCAAATCATTGATCCGAACATTACAAATAGCATATAAAACCAAGGTCGCAGCTCTATTGAATCAATCAAGAAAATTTAATTACTTTCATGATAACTAAGTGAGTCGACTAGAAAGAGTTTATTTTAGTGTTTTGCTCAGTGGTTTGAAAATGCAATAAGAGCTACCAACATTTCATAACAGTCTGTGCTTCATACTGAGATAAGTGTAGATGAGTGGCTTCCGATAAATGAAGATGTAAATGATTCCTATTGAAGTGGACTTCTTTGTTATATTCTTGAAAGACAATCAAAAGATAATAAATGTTTAGCATCATGTTATTCAAAAATGAGTGAAATGAGCAAATCTGATTCTATACTCGATACGAAACTATATAGCCATCTAGCACTAAAATTTAGTAGAAAGACATGTTGTCGTTATCTGCAATATGTTTACTCTTAAGCATTGTTTAACCGACGAATTAATCTCGAACATCATTATCCTGATCATTTGCTTATTGGATATGATTCTCTTTCAGATAGAGTTTCCTATAAAATTCTATCAAAGGAATTTAAAAAAAATTTGCGTTTTATTATTATTTCAAAAAGAAAAATTTTTGATTCGATCTTATTCATCTCAAAGTACAAAGACCCAGTCTGATTCATCGTTATCTAGGTGATTTACTGCGTCTTCGGCCGTGGCACGTTCTGGATTCAGATTACTAGATTCCATTTTTCCGAATCTAATATCACACGCCGTAATGTATCGATGCCATTTTCCACGATCATGATACAAAACTGAATTTCGGTTGACTACAGCAAATAATTCAGGTCCTTGGACACTTATAGTTTTAAAGTAGATGGCGCCTGGATAGCCAGGACCAGTGCGACCCATCTCCATTTTTAGTTCTTCCCACGATCTTTCGATGCCTAGTGCACGTTTTGGCATTGAATCAGTCACGCTTATGTATGAGAATTCACAGGTATTCATCACTTAACTATGTTGAAATAAATTGATAGTGATGGTATTGTAGATGTTGCTTTGACTTTTCGTCTGAGTCGATCAAAAGAATATAAAAGAAAAATGGCTTTTTACTTAGATATTCAAGTATATTGACATAAGATAACATAAAAAACTATGTGAAAATGCAATGTTTGTCCCAATTATATCTCATTTCTATATACATTATTGATTTCTGTCTACTGCAAGTAACGCTTTCAGTGAAAAACCCATGCTGTCATCATCTATGATGTCAAGGTTTATATCACAGACAGTGATATAGCGATACCATTTGCTCTCATCATGATGATAGACATTAGTTCTACTAGCATCGACAGGAAACAATTGCGAACCTTCTACAGTAATAGTGAAATAGTGAGTGCCATCCGATAGGCCAGGACTTTCTCGATCTAGTTTTGCACATAGCACATCCTATGATTGTTCGATCCCTAAAACCATTTTTTTAGTGTCGTCTAGTCTTCCAATATATATGAATTGACAAGTATCCATATCGCTTTCTTAAATTAGAATAACGTATACAGCCATACGGGACCAGAAAGCATGTAAATGCATGAAAAAGAAAAAAAAACACGTTGTTTTTCTCTCATTATCAGGAACCATGATCGTAAGCAAAAAACGACCATTGTTTCTAGTGATTTTAGACGCTTTTTCAGCAGTTTTGGCTACTTGGATAGTGAGATAG